CATTGTTATAAGAGCAGCTTATAACTCTTAAATCTCTTACAGATCTTGAGTTTTGAGATTTTCTTTGTTTTTGATGTTTTTCAGATAATGTGGCATTGGAAATAGATTAAATGTATGATGTATAAAAATGAATGAAGTATGTATGATAATATTTGTCTTTTGCAGCTGATTCTTACAGTTGATAATCAATTCATTATCTCTTTTCTTACACTTTTTCTCTATCTGCTAGTCACTACTCTTATATGACCTCTATATAATACAGTGTTCAGTGACTAGATTCAGCAGCTTTTAACTTTTTGTGATTCTGTCTCATGTATTATACTGTCTCTCTTCACCTGCTCAGATCACTACAGTGAACAGCTCATTGAAACTAACCTCACCTGATCTCTGAGCATTCTCAGAGGTTGAGATGGCTTGGTTCTACATATTCATGAATATTTCAGATAGTTCATTCTCTGTGATCTTTATAATTGAACTGATGTAAACAGTTGAATTCAACTCTGAATTTCTTTTTCTTCTGTAATCTGATTCACATATAAGTCTGCTGCTTTGAGACTGCTCTTTGTCACATTGCACTCACTGTCTGCAGTGCATTATTATACAACTGACTACAGTCTCATCACTTATTGAAGTGTGATATTCATCTGATTTCTTCATTTCTTTTCATTCTTTTCTTATAATTGTGAAAAGATCAGAATAAGTGAGATCATCTGATTTGTAAGTATCTATGATTTCTCTTACTTTGTAAGACTTTTCAATTATAAGTCTCTTCTTTTTCAACACTGACAATAGTGCTGTAAATGATCATAATTCACTCAGGTCTTACATCTTTGCTTTTACAAGTCATGAATCATTGATTAAGTTGTATAAGATCTATCTCTCTGATTCTTTCAATGTGTACATTCTCAGAGAATGTGATTTGAGTATCTTATATAGCTTAAATCATCTAGATTGAAACTTCTCAGAACTCTCATTACATACAAGAACTCATATTCTTATCTTGAGACTTGATTTCTTAACAAGTGAGTCTTATATTCTTTTCAATTGAATTGCTTAGTTCAGAAGTAACTTATTAGCTTTTGCATGTGCATGACTGATCTCTTTCAATCTTGATTTCATGTTCATAACTGTTACATCTGTAACTGCTACTGTTGCATCTGTAACTGCTCTCTTTTCTACCTTTTTCAAAGCATTCTCTGGGATGCGCGGATGCAATTCATACAACAGATAGAATGATGAACACTTGAAGACTGCATGCTGTCAAATCTGTGTGGTCAATAGCACCTGCCTGAGATATTCATCTCATAGTCTCATAGGCTTACTCACTAGATATTTCATCAGCATGTTGCTCAAGATTTCATTCAAGTGTTTCATCTTTCTGTTTATCTGTGAATGATATGATGTTGTTCTACAATGTCTTGTCTGTAACTGGCTCATGAAATGCCTCACTGCTTCTTCTACAAGGTTCACATCATTATCAGTTAGAATCTCACACAGCATTTCATAGTTAACATAGATCTCATTATATAGAAACTTCATCATCATCTTCTCTGTCACCTCTGGAACTGCTTTCATGACTGACCAGTCAGTAGTGTAATCAATAGCAGTGATTATTCATTGATTTTCATTTGATGTTCATGACAATATGTCTATGAGATTCACTTCTCATTGTTTGAATGATTGTATTGTACACTTTATCTGATGTTATACTTCTTCATATTCTAATCCTTTCTTAGATTCTTTCATGACCTGGCAATTTGAGCACTCATGAGCATACATCTGAATGTCCTCAGCCATGCTTGACCAGTACACTCTTGATTCAAGTACACTCATAAGTTCAGGGCTTTCTAAGTGACTGAATTCTTTGTGCATGTGAGTCATCAAGTCACATTGAAATGAGAGTTCTAGATAGAAAGCTTCTGCATATTCTAGATTGTAGTAAAGCATAACATCATTTTTCAATTTTCTCAGCTTGAAGTTCAGAAGCATCTCTTCTACTATTTTCACAAGACACTTATCATTCAACATCTTGTCATTCTTCAAGTAAGAGATTATGACATTCACTCATTCTGATTTCTTGCATTCTCTCAGCATGTTTAATGTGAACATTTCTTATGCCTGATTTGCAGGATTCTCACTCATGAAATCAGGTCTGTGACTGATTGCATTCAGCATCACTGCATTCAATCTCTTTCAGTATTTGATATGAAGATTATACACTTGAAACTCTGAGATTCAACATGCTAAATATTTGAAAGGTTTTGTCATTGATTATAGATAGACAAGGCTTTCATGATCTGTGATCACTATTATTATATACTCATTGTTGATATATCTATCTCATAACATCAGTGTGTGCTTGATTGCTAGCAATTTCTTTTCATGCACTGAGTAATTGAGCTCAGCATCTGATAGTTTTCTACCATCATACATCACTGAGTGCAGCTTGCTGTTCTTACTCATCTGTAGAAGAGTGTCTCTGATAGCTCATTCAGATGCATTCATCTCAATGTAGAAAGGTTTATCACAATCTGATTGAATAAGCACTGAGAATGTTATTATATATTCTCTCAGTGTGAGAAAAGCCTCTTCACACACAGCATTTCAGATGATTGAATAAAACTTCTTCTTTCACAGATTTGCATTCATTTCTCTTAAGAGATCTGAGAGTGATGCAGATATTCATGCAAAATCCTTGATGAATCTGTGGTAGTATAAGATTAACTTAAGAAACTGTTATATATGATGTACATTCCTCAGCTGCGGTCAATTCACTATGACATTCAATTTCTCCAGAATGAGGTGTATACAGTCATCACTCACTACATGTTCTATAAACTTCAACTCTTTCATTTCAAACACACACTTGATTGATTTGATGTAGAGCTTATACTCTGTCAGAGTTGTAAGCACTTCATCAAGATGCTTCAGATGTTCATTATATAAGTTTGAAAAGACTAGAATGTCATTGAGATATATGAGATATGAGGTTTCATTCTGTTTATAAAGAATCATATTCATCATCATTTAAAAGATGATGAGTGCATTTGTCAGACTGAATAACATTGCCAGGAATTCAAACTTCTCTCATTATATATTAAACATGGTTCACAGAACTGACAGTTCATCTACACAGATCTGCCAGTATTCTGAGAGAAGATCAATCTTTGATAGATATCAGGCATTTTCAACTGTATTCAACTGTTGTTGAATTCATGGCAGTGAATATTCATTCTTGATTATAAGCTTGTTGAGTGCTCAGTAATCAATACACATTCATCACTTCTCATTCACCTTTTTCATGAATAGAACTGGAAAGCTCCACATGCTTGATGAGAATTATATGAGATCATATTCTAGAAGATCAGTGATCTGATACTTCTGTTCTTCAAGATGTGTTTGTGACAGAGAGTATGTGTTCTGATTGACTGGTTTTGCATCCTCTGTGTTAATCTCATGTATGAATTCTTGTTTCAGCAGCAATTCTGGTGAAAGGTCTGTTCAGAAGATCTTTTCATGCTTCTTCAGAAGCTTCTTCATACACTTGTCCTCTCATATATTCTTTATCTTGGTTTTCTTCACTTTCAGGTCCTGTATGACATACAGAATGCTTTCAGATGAGGTCTTGCAAATCATTCTCTTTGCTTATTAATGCATAAGCAGATTTAACCCTTCTATATCAGAGGCATGGAATGTTCTTCTCATATCAGTTGATAGGATTGTATGAACCATTTTCTTTCTATCAGTTAACTGCATATGATATGTACATCATTGAATCTGCAGATTGAACCTTTGAAACTAATTAAGTTTGAGAATAAGATCATATTCCACATTCTGCAGCTCTCGCGCTCAAATATAGCAAGATCATCCTTCAAAGTGCAAGAGAACTCTTACTTTTACAGGTGATATCAAATATCAGTTATCAGATAATCTTATGCATCAGAGATTCTTCACTCAGCAGACCTCTTTCAATCTTCAGATTATATGATTATCAATATATTGTATCAAAGCTTCTGTGTCTGCTAACACTTTTGCAGCCATCTCTTGATTCTTACTCAAGTGCTTCTTATACATTAACATTTCAGGTCTTAAGACATTGAGATGAGTGTTCACTTCATTCTCATCTGTATCTCAGTCAGAAGCCTGCTTCTTCTTTGCATTTACAGAATTCAGAAAATCATCTAACACAGGCATCTCTTTCACTTTGAAGGCTTTTCATAGAATATCAGTAAGTGTCTCTGAGCTCACTGATTCTGCTAGTTTTTTGACTGTGTATACTGGATGCAATCTTTTACATTATGATTTTGATATTCACAGTTGAAACAAGCTCAATGCTTATAATATCAAGATTTTCACTCAGAAGATCTCTTTTTCAGAGAATTTAATACTTTAGTGATAACATTCAGATCTAGATTCATTGCATTTAAGTGTGTAACTTGTGTTATAGAAGTCTGATTATCTGTTCTTCACTGAGATATACTCAATTGCAGTATTTTCTATCACAATTAACTCACTTGTTTCTATATAATGAGAATGTTGTATGCTTTCTTCACTGTGCCTGACTGTGAGGCTAAGCATTTTCATTTCACTCTCAACTCAGGTATAAGATCATGAATGAAGATCTGTAAATAGAAAGATGTTGAAAGCTCTTCATTCAACACAAGATAGTGTAAGCTGAAGTGTGTGAAGTATAATATAAGATTATTCACTTATCTACACTCAGTGAAGCATTCATAATGCTTATCTCACATGTTCACTTTCTCAAAGTTGTGTAAGATTCACTTGAAAAACTTATTTCATATTCATGAGAATAAATATCACTTCAGGTCTGTGAGATTCATCTTTTCATCAGTCATTTATAATGACTTCACTTTTCTGTGTAGAAACATGATAGATCTTAAGACTTGTTAAAATTTCATTGACTATCTGTCTGTGAGTTTATATTCAATCTGATAATATGATTATATCTGACTTAGCCAGCTGATTGCAGCATCATTTTTTCAGTTATTATTAAAGCTTAATGACTCTGACAGATCTCTCAGCTTGATATATTTCATGCTCAGATTCTCATTCTGTGCAGCAGTCTCTGATGATGTGTACACTTCTGAAGAGATTGTGAACAATTGTGATGAGATCTTCAGGTTTAGTGTAGTTATCTGTCTGTGTAAACATTCAATCTCCTGCTGCAGACCTAAGATCTGATTTTCTCTATTCTTATTGATGATGATGATTGTGTCAGTGAAGCTCTTCATAGTGAATACTTGGTCTGCAGTGAATGTCAATTGTTGTTTAGCCTCTGTCTTAGTCTGTAACTGCATATACAAGGCCTCAATCTCATTTAGAATTCTTGTACATGTACAGAGCTTTGATTTCAGTTCAGTGATCTCAGCTGCTTTTCTTACTGCTTCAAGTAAACTCTCTGAGAGGTTCTGCATATCTTTCAGTTCAGGTAGCAGAGAAGAATGTTGTTCATATTGACTAGAGAAGATATTCATTTCAGTGGTTTCTCATTGATCATACAATGTCTATTATTATCACTGTATTGTTATATTGCTATATCACTGTATCATTATATCACTATATTATTATATCACTATATCATTATATTGCTATATCACTCTGTTATCATCATACAACTTCAGTGATGATCACTTCTTCTTTTATTCTTCTTTTGAGTAGAGAGCAGACTTCTTTGAATCTGATTCATTGCTCTCATTTTCTTTCTCACATCTCATCTGTTCACATCTCATACATGGCATTCATCTGAGTGTGAAGTTTTCCCTCAACAAGCAAAGCAGCATCAATTGAATGCTCTTCTGCTCATCACTCTTCATATGCTATCTTTTGAGACATTCTAGAATCACACTGGCATGATAACTACAAATCACTTCATAGGCAGAATTATCACACTCTGAAGAAGCCTGCACTTCTCATCAGTTTTTAGACATGCTATCAGATGTGATTCAAAGGTTGCTTAAGCCAGTGTACGATTACAGGCGTACACCGGCTTCTTATATATTGAATCTCATACGCTAAATTAATTAGTGGCCGCTAGGGCCCCCTTTACATTCGTACGCGTACGCTAGTAGTTCGGAAGCGTACGCGTACGCTAGTAGTTTGGAAGCGGCCGCGTTATTATCCGACGGTCGTACGTTCTTCCGAACCACAGAATCTAACTCTGAATTTCTTTTTCTTCTGCAATCTGACTTATATATAAGTCTGTCACTTTGAGACTGCTCTTTACTATGTTGCACTCACTATCTGTGATATATTATCATACAATCAGCTACAGTCTTATCACTTATTGAAGTGTGATATTCATCTGATTTCTTCATTGCTTTTCATTCTTTTCTTATAATTATGAAAAGATTGAAATAAGTGAGATTATCTGATTTGTAAGCATCTATGATTTCTCTTACTTCATAAGACTTTTTAATTATAAGTCTCTTCTTTTTCAACACTGATAATAGTGCTATAGATAATTATAATCTACTCAGATCTTGCATCTTTACTTTCATAAGTCATGAACTATTAATTAAGTTGTGTAAGACTCATTTCTCTGATTCTTTCAATGCATACATTTTCAGAGAATGTGATTTGAGTATTTTATATGACTCAAATCATCTAGATTGAAACTTCTCAGAACTCTCATTATATATAAGAACTTATATTCTTATCTTGAGACTCAATTTCTTAACAAGTGAGTCTTATATTCTTTTCAATTGAATTGCTTGATTCAGAAGTAACTTGTTAGCTTTTGCATGTACATAGCTAATCTCTTTCAATCTTGATTCTGTGTTCATAACTATTACATCTGCAACTGCTACTGCTGTATCTGTAACTGCTGTTTCTACTGTATCTGCAACTGCTGTTTCTGCTGCATCTGTAACTGCTTTCTTCTTCACCTTTTCCAAAGCATTCTCCGGGATGCGCGGATACAATTCATACAACAGGTAGAATGATGATCACTTGAAGACTGTATGCTGTTGAATCTGCATGATTAATAGTGCCTGCTCAAGATATTTATCTCATAGTCTTGTAGACTTACTCACTAGATATTTCATCAGTATATTACTCAAGATTTCATTCAAGTGTTTCATCTTTCTGTTTATTCATGAATGATATAATGTTATTCTACAATATCTTGTCTGTAACTGACTTATAAAATGTCTCATTACTTCTTCTACAAGATTCACACTGTTATCAGTTAGAATCTCACACAGTATTTTATAGTTGATATAGATCTTATTATATAGAAACTTCATCATCATCTTCTCTATCATCTCTGAAACTGCTTTCATAACTGACCAGTCAGTAGCATAATTAATAGCAGTGATTATTTATCAATTTTTATTTAGTGTTTATAGTAATGTGTCTATAAGATTCATCTCTCATTGTTTAAATAATTGTATTATACACTTTATCTGATATTATACTTTCTCACATTCTAACTCTTTCTTAGATTCTTTTGCAATCTGATAATTCAGACACTTGTAAGTATACATCTGAATGTTCTCAGCTATGCTTAGTTAGTACACTCTTGATTTAAGTACACTCATGAGTTCAGAGCTTTCTAAGTGACTGAATTTCTTATGCATGTGAGTCATCAAGTCATGTCTAAATAAAGATTCTAGATAGAGAGCTTCTATATATTCTAGATTGTAATAAAGTACAACATCATTTTTCAATTTTCTCAGCTTGAAGTTCAGAAGTATCTCTTCTACTATTTTCATGAAATACTTATCATTCAATATCTTGTCATTCTTCAAGTAAGAGATTATAATATTTACTCATTCTGATTTCTTACATTCTCTCAGTATATTTAATATGAATGTCTCTTATATCTGATTCATAGAACTCTCACTTATGAAATCAGATCTGTGACTGATTGTATCAGATATCACAGTATTCAATTTCTTTCAGTATTTAATATAAAGATTATACACTTGAAACTCTGAGATTCAATATGCTAAGCATTTGAAAGGTTTTATCATTGATTATAGATAGACAAGACTTTTGTGATCTGTGATTACTGTTATTATATATTTGTTGTTAATATATCTATCTTATAATATCAGTGTGTGCTTGATCACTAGCAATTCCTTTTTATACACTGAGTAATTGAGCTTAGTATCTGATAGTTTTCTATCATTGTATATCACTGAGTGCAGCTTGCTATTCTTACTCATCTGTAGAAGAGTATCTCTGATAGCTCATTCAGATATATCTATCTTAATATAGAAAGGTTTATCATGATCTGATTGAATAAGCACTGAGAATGTTATTACATATTCTCTCAATGTGAGAAAAGTCTCTTCACACACAGTATTTTAGATAATTGAATGAAACTTCTTCTTTTATAGATTTGTATCTATTTCTCTTAAGAGATCTGAGAGTGATGCAGATATTTATACAAAATCCTTGATAAATCTACAGTAGTATGAGATTAACTCAAGAAACTGTTATACATAATGTATATTTCTCAGTCATGATTAATTCACTATAATATTCAATTTCTCTGAGATAAGATGTATACAGTTATCACTCACTACATATTCTATGAACTTCAACTCTTTCATTTCAAATACACACTTGATTGATTTGATATAGAGCTTATACTCTGTCAGAGTTATAAGCACTTTATCAAGATGCTTCAGATATTCATTGTATGAGTTTGAAAAGACTAGAATATCATTGAGATATACAAGACATGAGGTTTCATTTTATTTATGAAGAATTGTATTCATCATTATTTAAAAGATGATGAGTACATTTATCAGACTGAATGATATTATCAGAAATTTGAACTTTTCTCATTGTATATTAAACATAGTTCACAGAACTGATAGTTCATCTATACAGATCTGTCAGTATTCTGAGAGAAGATTAATCTTTAATAGATATCAAGCATTTTCAACTGTGTTCAACTGTTGTTAAATCTATAACAGTGAATATTTATTCTTGATTGTAAGCTTATTAAGTGCTTAATAATTGATACACATTCATCACTCTTCATCTGTCTTTTTCATGAATAGAACTGGAAAGCCTCACACACTTGATGAGAGTTGTATGAGATTATATTCTAGAAGGTCTGTGATCTGATACTTCTGTTCTTTAAGATGTGTTTGTAACAGAGAGTACACATTCTGATTGACTGGTTTTGCATTCTCTGTATCAATCTCATGTATGAATTCTCATTTCAGTGATAATTTCAGTGAAAGATCTGTTCAGAAGATCTTCTCATGCTTCTTCAGAAGCTTCTTCATACACTTGTTCTTCTGTATATCTTTTATCTTGGTTTTCTCCACTTCTGAGTCTCATATGACATACAGAATGCTTTCAGATAAGGTCTTGCAAATTGTTCTCTTTACTTGTTAATGTGTAAGCAGATTTAATTCTTCTATATCAGAGACATGAAATGTTCTTCTTATATCAGTTGATAGAATTGTATGAATCATTTTCTTTCTATTAGTTAACTGTATATAACATGTACATCATTGAATCTGCAGATTGAATCTTTGAAATTAATTAAGTCTGAGAATAAGATTGTATTTCATATTCTGCAGCTCTTATATCTAAATATAGCAAGATCATTCTCTGAAGTGCAAGAAAACTCTTACTTTTACAGATAATATCAAATATCAGTTATCAGATAATCTTATACATCAGAGATTCTTCACTCAGCAGACTTCTTTCAATCTTTGAATTATATAATTATTAATATATTGCATTGAAGCTTCTGTGTCTGTTAATACTTTTACAGCCATCTCTCAATTCTTACTCAAGTGTCTCTTATATATTAACATTTTAAGTCTTAAGACATTGAGATGAGTATTCACTTCATTATTCTCATCTGTATTTCATTCAGAAGCCTGCTTCTTTTTTACATTCACAGAATTCAGAGAGTCATCTAATACAGACATCTCTTTCACTTTAAAGACTTTTCATAGAATATCAGTGAGTGTCTCTGAGCTCACTGATTCTGCTAGTTTTTTAACTCTCTTACTTCTCTTAACTGTGTATACTGAGTGTAATCTTTTGTATCATGATTTTGATATTCATAGTTGAAGCAAGCTCAATGCTTATAATACTAAGATTTTCACTCAGAGAATCTCTTTTTCAGAGAATTCAGTACTTTAGTGATAATATTCAGATCTAGATTCATTGTATTCAGATGTATAGCTTGTGTTATAGAAGTCTGATTACTCATTCTTCACTGAGATATACTTAATTACAGTATTTTCTGTTATAATTGACTCACTTATTGTCATATAATGAGAGTATTGTATGCTTTCTTCACTGTGTCTGACTGTAAGATTAAGCATTTTCATTTCACTCTCAACTCAGATATAAGATTATGAATGAAGATCTGTAAACAGAAAGATATTGAAAGTTCTTCATTCAATATAAGATAGTATAAGCTGAAGTGTGTGAAGTATAATATAAGATTACTCACTTATCTACACTCAGTGAAGTATTTGTAATACTTATCTCA